GTAGTATATATAAAATATCCTAAAAACCATAACTAATCGCATATGTAGACACTTGTTAAGGGAAAATGTTATTTTTTCAGATAGTTTCTTTATACAATCATAGAAGATGGGAATGTATGTAAAAATCTGTTGACCAAAATTAAGTTTGTTATATTTTTACTACAGTGAAAGAATGGACGCTTATAAGATAGGAATTTGGTTCCAGCAAATTGATGGAAAATAATATTTATCTTGGAAAACCAAGTAGAAGCACATAAATGCTACTTTAATGTTTGTTTCCAAATAAAAATTTTAAAACTTTTGATGATTAAATCAATCAGTGACATAAAAAATAATCAACTAATGAAAATTATTTTCTTATTATTCCACCTACCTAAGTCCTGTGTAAGAATAATCAATTAGTTGAGTTTGACAATTAGTCGATCATCAGGTTCCACTAATGATGTAGCTCTGTGTAGGGTCTTGTATTTACAGAAAACCCTATTTGTGAGATATCATCAGCTGTTTGAACAGCAAATTCACCATCATTCCATTCCAGTACCAAACTAATATTTTGTATATAATTTATGTTCTCATAATTTTATTTTGTGAGAAAAACTCAGTTTGATTCAAGATTTACCTCTTTGAATGATATTACCTTTTATTCATATATTATTTTTTAGATAGTGACTGAATATATGCAAAAAAATAGGATATTGTGACTGTTGTGGCTTATTATTCAGTCCAAAGGTGCATCATACATTATTTCAAAAGACAGTGGGGAAATATGAAAACATTTGAAGGTGTGATAATTTCAGTGTTTTGTATCTCATGTGTGAGAGTTTAACCTGGGACCAGTTGCATTACAAGTGAGTGCTCTACTTACTGAACTAAAATTAAACCACTGGCATTTGCTAGTAAAGCACTTTGGAACAACTTGAACAACCACATTCTTCCCCTCTCACTATTTGGATGCCAAATTTTCCTGGAATAGATTCAATTTATGCTTCTCACTCATGCAAGATTCAAACCCATAACCACTCCCACTACAAGGGAGTGATCTACTAACCAAACTAAAGGATTAATCCATTAACTATTGTTAATAAGGCATTTTTAAGCAACTCAAACTACCATAAATGTGAAAAAAAACTTAAATTGTGGAGCTTGAATCTGCAGTAAATCTTAAATAAAATTCTACAAAAGACCAACTACCTCTGGATATCAAGATGGACCCAGTGATGATGGAGACATAACTTGGGAATCACAAACTCCATATTCAACACTATCCACTTTCTCAGAATGCATAAAGTTATCTGTCACAGAACTATCACACCTCACTCAAGATGTGTTATATTCAGTGTTTCAGGTAGCTGATTATAATTCCTTTATAGGTATTCACTGATACTTTTGTAAAAACTGGAGTTTGCATACCTGATGGATGCAGAACTTGTGCAATTGACCTTATAGGCAGTCAGTTTGCACTGGAAACAAAATTCCCAGACTTTAATTTCAACTGCTCAGACATAACAGTTTCAAGCAGGTATATGAAAAGCAGCTCAAGTGAAGGTTTTTGATGATTCATTGAGCCTAACTGACAGTAACTATTAAAATCTCACTGGGTTCCACAAGGAATAACTTGAAGTGGGATACATGTGAGGAGTAATTCAACTAAGAGTATAAACATCATTGATAGTGTTATTAATCAAACTCAGAATTGTTTTGTTGCTTCCTTTGCTTTCATCCTTGTTTGGAATGGAGAAGTGAGCTGTCAACAAGGAATGTGTTGATTGAGAACTTTGTTCCTCATTACTTTGTACTCTTTCACATCATCATTGGTTAAAACACTTTGCTAAAAGCTAGAAATAATTCTTTTCCATCCACAAAGGATTACCTGTGTTGAAACCAGTGATGCTTGTAGCTTCTGATGGGTATTTACTGATAGTTCTGGATGGATGTTAAGGACACTGAAGAAATGTATATTTGGCTGAACCTCATATATTTTCTTACTATGGATCATTGATTTTGAGATTGGCTAGTCTTCCTTTATGACTTTGGATTTGTCATAAAAGTGCCTAATTTCCTTGTGAAATGAAATAAACACACATCATATCTGAAGCTAGTGAATCCAGACTTAATGCTGAAAACCTTGTGGGTTGTGGAGGCTTTGGATGGTAAGGTAAAGATTTAGAAAGCACTGTATGTAGTTTTCGAAGACTTAGTTTCTATATGTAAGAAATTACACATGAATTGTGTGTCCTCTCTTTAATACCTTCAGACCTCTGTACATCCAGGATGTGATAGCTGCTGATATTCTTTCACACTGATGCTAAGACTTGCTTCTCTCCTAAGTAGTCTACAGAACATGGAGAAAAAATGGATCTATTAGCAAGAGGACTTGCTGGTGTAAGATGGATGTAATATTTATAAAAGACTTCTCTCATTTGACAGTAGATGAACTGCACAACTTGTGCATCAGAGATTATAGTATACCAAATGAAACAGTCCCAGTCATACAGTGCAGAGTACATGAACAAGAATGGGTCTTCTAAAATTTTTCTTCATAAGGAACAGCCAAACTTCTGAGAGCCAAGGTGCAATTTAAATGCTACAACCTCTGGAACCAATATGAAATGGGTCTACAGTCTGTAACAAGCAGGCCAAAGTGGTGGAATACTGTACACATGTGATCTCTTTTATGATACCTGAGTTATGCAAAACACATCAGCCAGATAATTGTTACTGCAATAACTTTGAAGTTTTTCTCTGCAATAACTGTCAATAGTTTTTCAAGAAAAATCCTAAAGGAACAATAATGCCAATATAACCACTCATTTAATGAACACCAACAATAAGGAAGTCTTTATTTAGCTAAATCCTGGAGATGTTTTCTCACTATGGATCCGGTGTCTGGAGCAGTTGAGACTAGGAGTACTGATGATAAAACTAAAACATTATATTCGTTAGTTATTATTACATTTTAATAATTTGTTTTCTGTCATAATGAGTGTTTCTAAGCTATGAAGTATCCATGTTTGACCTATTCTTTTAAGTTATGTGTAAAAGAAACTGCAAATAATGCTTCATTTTATTGTCACATAGCATACAATTGATTCTTTGCAAGTTTCATTTCAATTTGAGATTATCAGGAGCCAAAAGCAGCCCTTATATGCCTCCTCCTTTGCAAGAAGAACAAAAATAAAAAAACTGTAATTAGATTTTTTTTTAAATATTTTGGTTAATTCTTAGTTATTTGCAGCATATATTTTGATACAATCACTTTGCTTATTAAAATATTTCTCTTAATGTAAGAGCTCAGTTTTGTAATATAACTATTGTTTTAGTTCATTTGGTCCTTTATTTTCAAATAACTCATACAATTTCTAGTCAGAAGCTTGGAGAATCTAAATATTAAGTTTTAAATAAGAAATGCTTAACCATACAATAAACTGTAGTAATAACCATTTTCAGTGAGTCTAGTTATTGTCACAGTTTCTTTAGAATTTTTCTTGTGCAATGTTTCTAATTTGAAATAAGAATTGTGTCAGAGTGATTAACTTTCTGATTGGGTACTTAAGTTTTTCCAGGGCCTGTTCAAGAGCATAAAATAATTATTTTTCAAAGGTATGGTGGAAGTTATTGATAAAAGTCAAGAGTTTCAAGATATGAAGTTTAATAGGATATTAATAATCAGAACTTCCAATCATGTTGTAGTTTTGTCTGCAATAACTTTTATCATGTACTTCAATGTTTTTCAAGTAAATACTCATGTAACATTTTAATGAGTGTTAAGGAATATTCATTTTTTTTCCTTTTTACTTATCAAAGTATCGTAAGGTATTTCATAAACAATGTTAAATTTAAGAAGTGTTCATTGATGGAAAATATATAGTATAAGGATATTTCCATCTGATTTGACCACTGGGCATTCCATAAGTTTTATTTTCAAGGTTACCCGAGTATTACCAACTTGGATAAGCTACAGAACATTTATGGAAGCAATGTGCTAGCTATTAGTAAATTTAAAATTTTTTGTAAGGAGATTTCTTTTGCAAATTATGTTTTTATGTAAAATAATCAAAAATACATATTTTTTTAAAACAATAAAGGAAAAAAAGAGTGGTCAATTTTCCAAAGCAACGTTACAAACTTTCTATAAAACTGATCATATGAACAGAGTCACTCTATATTAATTTTAAAAGATAAGCAGTTTTGTTGATTGTACTAAGTGGAAAATTTTAATGTCAGGATAGTTATATATATTTTTTTCCTCCACAGTTGACCAGTCTAGCAATGCTTATGCTTGACCCACACTACAGAACTATCAAAGGCTTTGAAGTTCTCATAGAAAAAGAATGGATTAGTTTTGGACACAAGTTTGCACAGGTGTGTGTGCACATTTATCAATAATTTGATGAATGAATTTTCATAAAAGTGTGATTGTTATAATAAAAACATAGCATGTAAAAGTGTCAATAACCTTGTTTTAAATGGGATTTAGCAGTTGTTAAGAGTTTAAGTACCAGTATTATTGAACTACATAATTTCTGGTTTTTGGGCTGAGGGTTATCAGTGGGCATCATTGAATGACATAACTACTAAATATATGAAGTTAATATTTCAGTTAAATTGTGATGCATATTTAGTTATCTTTTAAACTGTGCATTGTTACTGTAGGTCTGTAACAAACAAATGTACAACTTTTTCTTCTATTCCCAAATTTGAAAAAAAATTCTAAAACAATTAACATCAAGTGTAATATGTATAATTCTAAAAGAGATAGACATATAAGTAATTTTTCCTGCATCTTCCCAATAATTCTAGCAACAGTTTTGTTACTTTAAAATATTCACGTTCAAGCAGGAAAAAAATGAATATTATTAATTGATGTGAGTTGGTTGAAAACAGACCAACCCCTTTGCTTTCATACCTGATTGTTTTTAGATAAAAAGTCAAAATGCTGATGTATTTCTAAAATGTAAATAAGTAAGTAATTCATAGTTGGCATTAGATTAAGTTCTCTGCTAGTAAAAGTAAGCTAATCTATGTAGTAGTTTCTGTACTTGGTCAAGAAGATTTGTTTTGTGAAATGTTAGTATAGGCATAGCTGCTGCTTCCATCTGTTTTATGTCTTGGTAATGCGGTGATGAAGATTGTTTGGTGAAATGGTACCAGTTATGTTTCAGAATTGCAGCAGGGCAGCCTTGTTATTCATGGACAAATCATTTAAATGTATTTTACTTTATTTATTGGTGGTTTTAGGTCTATAGGCAATGATATTTAATTTAGAAACAAAAAGGTGATATAAGATGTACTGTGCTTCAAACAAACACTTGAGTATGCATCACAAATAATCCATTCAGTTGTACCAATGGTGAAAACTATTCCCCAGCAACATTCTAGTCATTCATATTGCATTGGTTAAAATATTTTAAAGATAGTAATATACACCTAACTTAAGATATTCATTCAAGAATATATGTAGATAAATACATGCATTTTTTTTTTTGCAACAAACTACAGATCTTAAAGCAGAAATGAACTTATAAGTACAGGAATGTAATTAGTTTTTCGTGTTGTATAGTAAATTTTTCCTGTAGTTCTCAAACAAGTTCAGCAAACATATGTAGGAATCTTGTAACTCTTACATACTTAAATGAAAATACATATATAATAAAAGTGAATGAAAAATTGTTGCAGCCTTTTTTGTTTAGTTATCCTCTTCAACTGGTAGTAGATCACCATTTCAACCAAATTACCTGTTTTTCATATCATTTTTCTTGAAATGGTCTAAAAGTGATTTCACATACAAGGCTGACCACATTTTTCAGTTTAAAGTAAACTCACATTATGAAGAAAATTTTAAATTTCCACAGAAGTTTTAGAATACTTTGTTTATTGTCTTTATTAAATAGTGCAAACTTGCATGTTATTAAAAAGTCTGACCAAATCAAGCTATCTACATGAATCAGAACATAAAAAGTAACCTAGTAAATAATATGTTTTATTTATTATAAGTGGTCTAACTGCAAGTATACAATAAAAAAACTTACAATGCTTAGAATGCATTGATTCATCAGTTTGGTGTTGTCTAATAGGTGTCAACCCTATTTTCTCTCCAGTGCTGCTTGTTTAGTAATTTGTGAGATTTACTACATACTTGTCTACATAGTGAATGCCAAATCTACATTGAAAATGGAAGGAATAAAAAAGTAAAAAGAAACATCAGAAAAGGATAACTCACTATTGATAAAACTTAAATTTGAAACATGTGGAATGGATATAACAGTGAAACTGTTAAAAACACCTATAATGTATGTTAAAATATGTATATGTAATAATAATAATAAACAAAAATCATAGTAAGTAGTTGTAATACTTTCTCCTTGAAACAAGTTTTAGTAACGTTTGTATGTAATTTTTATTATTAGATCTACATTTGACTAGAAACTAAAGAATAATTTGTAAGTATTTTAATGAAGTAAAATATTTATCACATATAACAGAACTTCAGTAAGTCATCATAATACATATATGTGTCTTGTAATAATTGCTCCACTTTACACCATTTGTTAGAAGTGTAATAGAAATGTCTTTGGGTCATATGGTTTTAACAATAACGGGGGAATATATTTCTATCATTCTGTTAAGAGTTCTGTATCAGGCAGGCTGTAGCACTGCCTATATAGGGATGGCTCGGATTGTTTATTGAAATGGTATTTTAAATATTTCCTCAATAGGTCATCAGAACTTTACAATACTATACAGTGTATCATTTTATAACAATATCTATGTAATAACTGGGTCACAAGTTCTGTGAATGTTTGTAAATATTATAGCAAAAGTTTGAATTTATTGTTCTTCTTTCTTCTGCTTCTTCTTTATTATATGATAACTCAAAAACCAAAACAGTGGTGTCACCCAACTTCACTGAGGTGACATAGTTTAAAATGGAGTATTGTCTTTTATAAGTATTATTAATAACTAGTAGTAATTAAAAACAAATCATAATTCTAATGTAAATGATTTTATCATTCTGACTGCCCCTGGTTATATTTCAGGGAATGAAAGATATATTAACCTAAATTCTCACCTTATATAGAAGAATTTGTTATAATTACCCGTTGAAGTTAGCTTTTTTTACAAAATTTGGTGTTCCTTTAAAAAACTTAATTACTGGATGAAACAGGAATTACCAGCCAATAATAGATATACAATAAATATTACAGTTGGAACCTCATTGTATTCAGACCTTGGTTATAAATAGAACCTTCTTACGTCTATTGAAACACTGCAGTGAAAAAAAAAAAAACAAGTAAAGAAACAACTTTCAGAAAAGGAAGTAAATGTAGGGATGGCTTATATAAAATCGTTCTAAAACAATGCAAACAAGATAGTAGAAATGGCATTTGTATCATCCCTACATAATAGCACAGGCAAGAATTAACATTTAGCAATATACATAACTATTCAATCACAATTGGGTTTAATTTATCCTATGTTTTGTATGTTAACATTCTACTACTATCTTGTTTGCATTGTTTTTGAAGGATCGATATTAGCCATCCCTACATTTACATCTTTTGAAAAGTTTTTTCTTTACTTACTTTTATTACACAGAAATTAGTGAAGAAAGCCCTGTATTTCTTTCCACCAAAAATTAATACTAGGTGAATTTATTTACTTATGAGTTAGCAAGGGAGATAGTAATCAGACATTAAAAAAAAAGTATTTTTATGTATCAGTTCTTCAACTACATTAATTTTTAAAAATCTACATTACTAAAACACTGCTGTAGTTTTAAAGTGTATGTCACATTGCATTGACAGGTTGAAATAAGTAATATAAATGTATACATCTTAAGTAACATAACTCTAATGGTATTACATGCTGTAGCATTTGCTTGGAAAAAAGTAATTTGATTAATATATTGTATCTTAAGTGCTTGTTGTTTTTTTTATCAAAAATTAATTAGTTTACTTCTGCCACTAAAATTTAGAATCACTAAGAATGCAAAATATTTTGTATGTCACTACATTTTATAAGAAAATGTAATATTGTAAGTTTTTTTTAATGATTTATTAATATATTTACAGCGTATTGGTCATGGAGATGACAAACATTCTGATGCAGACAGATCCCCAGTTTTCCTGCAATTTATAGATTGTGCTTGGCAAATTACACAGCAGGTAAGGTAGAACTATGATTATACTTAAGCTGTAGTCTTGGAAGTTTAATGCATGTCAGTAGCTAGAGTTAACATGACCTGATAAATGTTGCTTATTTCCAATGATTTCAGTTAGAAAAGGTTTTAAAAAACAGTTGTTATCAGTTAGTAACAGTGATAGGTTGTACTTGTAAGACAAGGAAGAGAAAGTATGGAAAGTAATGCCAATATAACCAGTCGTATGAAACATTTTAAATCACTTTTTGTACAATATTTCCGAGTTTATCTAGGGTTCGTGTAATACATCTAGAAGTCTTTTAGCATACATCTATCAATAAACTATCTGTAAAATATTTCTTTAATAAATTATTAATATGTATCAACTGTTGTGTTTCTTAATTCTGATTACTTGTTTATCGATGTGGATAGAAATTGCCATAGAAGACTAAAAGGTCAAGATTTTGCTACTTATGATATGAGTTCTCTTTAGTACACAGTTTAATTTTGCTTAGGAAGCAGTGTACAATTAATGGAAAAGAGCAGTAGAGTTCAAGTGAGGTAGATGAGGGGAGTGAAAACACCATTAAAGCATTGTTTATTTTGATTCAAACAGTTGAAAACCTAATATGATGGTAATAATAATATATCTTGCTAATGATTTTTAGAAATGTGTCTGGTGAAAGATAATGGAAAAACAGGATTAATGTGGTGTGTTATAATTAAATTATTGTGATAAATATGTTTGATTTATATTTATTTGTAGTTTTGGTAAGTGAAATCATTAAAAGAATTCTGTAAGTTACAATAACATCATTGTATTTTTATTACACTCTTTTTAGTTTCCAAATGCTTTTGAATTCAATGAACACTTCTTAATAACAATTTTGGACCACCTCTACAGTTGCTTATTTGGAACTTTTCTTTATAACACTGAGCAACAACGAGTAAAAGAGGCAAGTTAAAAGTTATTACTAAAATAACAGTGAAATATATGCTGTATAGTATTGAAAGTTGTCATGCTTACACCAGTAGTGTTGAATACATTTCTGTCCATAACTTTTTAAATAATATATAAAAAACAAACTTGTGCAAATACCTAAGCATTAATTTTGTTGTCTTGAAATTATAAAGCTTGTTGTTCAATGAAGGTATATAAAATGTGAGTATTTGTGTATGTATAAATGCTTTCTTTGGAACATGAAAAGTAAGCAGTATTTTAGTATCATGTAAAGTTAAGGTTAAGTATACTATACAAATATGGTATGGTATTTACAAGCATAGATATTTATCTCATATTTTATATTAATTCTAAAAACCCTGACTTGCTAGCACTTTTCATGTTTCAAGTGCACACCTGCATATAAAATGAAATTTCAAAATGTAAGTGAATATAATAATTCTAACTCTTATTTCAACACTTTTTAACTAAAAACAAGTATTTAGTGGGCAATTCTTAAAAACTGTTTTGAATTTTCAAATTTACATTTCTGCCCAGCTTCCTAAAGTCTTGCCTATAAACAACACACATTGAATTTATCTGCTCATCCCAAAGCATAGGTTTATATGTGCTAAGAAACTATCATCTCTTAAGAAAATAATTATCCATATTTTGTTTCTCACATGTTTTCTTTCCTTTCACTAATTTTAACAGTACAACCTTTCATTTCTTCCATTTTATGATCTCACAACATGTGATCTCAACAGCCGCTAATCAAGCTCAACTTTGGAAACAGCTATAGGCTAAATTTGAAGACCATTGAATATAGCAGATTGTAAACTATTTATGTCAATGTAAAGTGAGTGTGAAAAGTAATTATAGTTTCATGGGGAAGTGACAAAATCTTGCTCCTTCGAGAAAGAACAACCACAGATCTTGGAATTTCTTTGTAGTTTCTTTAGATGTTCTTTTCGTTCCTGAAAATGTTTTCCTGTTACATTATATTTGTTTGAAAGATATAACAATTTTCTACTGTGACAAGACATTGAGTAAGCATATTTAGGTATATCGAGTACAATTGGCAATGGCGATATACTCCAATGACTCAAGTCCTTATTTATTGAATATTATTGTTAAGTTTATTATATTCAACAATGCACATAAATAAAAATGCATATTTATTGAAAAGAAACTATATTTATTAGATATAAATTTATCTTTACCAAGAATATTGTTGTGAAAGATTACATGCTAGGTCACCAATAAATCTGTCAGTTTATCAGTGTTTTTTATGACTTATAACCACAGGTGGTGATTACTGCAACTGGCAAAATAGAGAATCAAGAGAAATATGATAATGAGAATCGATATATATATGAAATGGAACTATCTGATCAACAATAAAAAAATGAAATTTAATTTTAAAGCAATAGAAAGTAACTTATTTTTGAAAAAAATAAAAATTTTGAAATTTCTCAACATAATAAAACAATTGATACACAAACTAAATTAAATTACATGAACTTTTTAAAGTCAAACATTAGGTATTATTTATTAAGTGTATTTTAAGTTTCGTGCAATTTGATGAAGTATTTCCACTGTATGAAGGAAAAAATTGAGGGATGTCAGTGACAACCATTCCTATCTAGAACCTTTTAATGTGCATTCTTTGAAAACAAACTACACTATTAATAAACTTTGAACTGAGAGGTAATTGCACATTATATGAACAAGGTTGCTCTGGAAACGATTTCATCCATCATCAGTCGTGCTCAGTCTGATTTAACATACTTTTTATAGACCCTCCACTGTATACAAACATCAGCTACCAAGACCAAGTTTAAGCACATTAAAAGCATAAAAGTCCATCATTGGAGCTGCATCAGAAGACTTGGGTTCCAGTATCTTCAGCCATTTGTTTTTTTTATGAAAAAAGTCATTGATTTTGAAGTGTAGCTGGAAGATGATAAAGTTTTGAATTGTGAGCCTTTATAGTTTTCAAATCCATGTTTATTAGTTTATTTTTGATGCAGGGAAATAGGTCCAACTTCACTACAGTAGCATTTTTTTGGACTAGCATGTTCTTTTTCATAAGCATTATCATCACTTTATGGATGGGAACACTGCGAGATACTGACCATTTTTAAAAATTTTGTGGTCATTAATTTGTAGTAAGTAAGTGAAATACTGACCATATTTTCACATTTTCTAGTCTTTAACATGAAATAAAACAGTAAAGTAACCGACCATATTTTCACATATGCAAGTTTTTAACTTGAAATAAGACAGTAAAGTAACTGACCATATTTTTACATTTTCTAGTCTATAACTTGAAATGAGACAGTAAAGTAACTGACCATATTTTCACATTTTCTAGTCTTTAACTTGAAATGAGACAGTAAAGTAACTGACCATATTTTCACATTTTCTAGTCTATAACTTGAAATGAGACAGTAAAGTAACTGACCATATTTTCACATTTTCTAGTTGTTAACTTGAAATGAGACAGTAAAGTAACTGACCATATTTTTACATTTTCTAGTCTATAACTTGAAATGAGACAGTAAAGTAACTGACCATATTTTCACATTTTCTAGTCTGTAACTTGAAATGAGACAGTAAAGTAACTGACCATATTTTCACATTTTCTAGTCTATAACTTGAAATGAGACAGTAAAGTAACTGACCATATTTTTACATTTTCTAGTCTATAACTTGAAATGAGACAGTAAAGTAACTGACCATATTTTCACATTTTCTAGTCTGTAACTTGAAATGAGACCGTAAAGTAACTGACCATATTTTCACATTTTCTATTCATTAACTTGTGGTAAGATAATGAGATACTGAACATGTAACTTGGAGCTCTAAATGCTCTACTCTAAGTTTTTCCACTTCCATCAAAAAAGATAAGAAGCTCACTTTATGAAATTTCTTTTTGCTCTGTATCATTTAACAACTTCATTCTATAAATATCCTTTATACTGGGCTATAAGATAATCCTCCAGTTATAAAGTCTAGCTGTGGCGGCATTACATTGTTGAATAGCTGGGATTTTGCAGTGAACCAACTATATTTGGGTTGAACATATTGCAAGTGACACCATGACTCTGATCTGCAGCAACACTTCACTGTATTAACTTATGTAAACCATTCTTATAAATTGTGATTAACTCTCTGTATATTTTATATTAACATTCATTTTTATGCCCTGAAAATAGCATTTTAAATAAACTTAAACGAGTGGGTGAAATCAATACACCTGTTGTCTGGTCTGTTTTATTACATTGGAGAAAAATACCTACTAGATAAAACAGATTTGTGCTTGAAATGAACTTTCTACCAATCATATAGCTTCCATAAATAAAACATCATATTTTTATTTTAATATTTATATGGTTTTGTGGCTTTGAAAATATTTCATTGGGATGTGTTTTTTTTTTTATAGAAAAACATTTGCTTACCTTTGTTGTTGATTTTAGTTACTGATTTTTGTAAAACTTTGTTATTAAGTTTTTATTTTACAAAACTGTAAATTTTATCTTTGTTTTGGTTTGAAAAACGATGAATACAATTTCACTGCTGTAATAATCACTGATCTAGAATAGAAATAACTTTCTAACCATACAAGAATTATAAGCAAGTCAACTTATTTAAATTGTTAATCAGAAGTTTTCATTTAATATATATGCAATAAGGTTTAAACCTGTTTTATATTCACTTATTTATATTTTTCTACATTTCTTTTAGGTGATATCTTTTCCCATTCAAACAGTTACTTAAACCATTAAGGCTTAATGTCAGCAAGAACTAATGGACTACAGTCTTCTCAGTAACATCAAACTTGATACAGTCAATTGCAAAATTGCCTAACTAAGCTTACTTCATCTTGTTTCACAAAAAATATTTCTTTTTTGTATCATACTGCAACATTATAATTCAAATGACGTATAAAATTATAATGCAACTTTTTACAAATTAAAGACGATTAATTGGCACTTTAGTTGTGGCAGAAGCTGTTCACAAACATATTTTCGTATCACTTCACCAAAGCTTTTATCATTTTGTTCTGATCCCTAATCAAGTTTTTGCTGAATTGATCTATGAAGGTGGGGAAAAAAAGATGAGGTGTAGGCCATTATACCACACCATGACAACTGAGGATGAGAAACAGTAATTAGCTAAAATTGATAAAACTACACTTGTATTGGATGTACAAGGTCCAATTTTAGTGCTATTTTGTTAAAAACTATTTCTACTTTCCTCCTACATGGTTGTGAGTTCCATATTATGCTCAGATCAAAAAAGTTCAGGAAATTCACAAACACTAATCCTTTCTTTTGGAGCATACTAAAATCAGCCAAAGATCAAAATTTGTGATGACCGAACATTTTTATGTATAAAATTAAATAACTTAATCTTTGTATTGCATGAATTTCAATTCTTAAGTATTTCAGAAAAAAAATGGAAGGGTGACTACAGTTTATTTTCTATTATTTTTTTAATTCAGTGATACAGTTTTTCCCTTGTGACAAGATGCAACCATCAAGGCCAAATAGGGCTAAACAGTATTTTTTCTTTTCTTTTATTAGTAAAACTTGTATATACGTGTACAAATCTTATTGTGTTGATTTGTAATTTGACATTTAAAAAATATATTAAAATACATACCTACTTACATAACTATAATTTTTGGCTAAGAAACTTGATTTATTATTTCACTAGCATATCAATTGTTAATTTATTCATGTTTTTATTATATTATTCTGTGTGACAATCGGTTGAAAGAGAATTCATATGAAATTAAAACCTGTAAAGCATGGGTGAAGGTTTTATAATCTTGTAAAATTTACTATTTCACAGTTCAATACTAAACACAATTTTTCGACTTCTTTAGGATGTGAAAAACAAAACTGTTTCTCTGTGGTCCTTCATTAATAGCAACATTGAAGATTTTACAAATCCTTTGTATACCACATATAGACAGCAGCATGTTCTATTTCCAGTTGCTAGCATGAGACGGCTCCAGTTATGGAAGAGTTACTACTGTCGCTGGAACCCTCGCATGAGAACACAGGTATCATATTTCATAGCTGATTTTCATTTAAAACCTAGATTAGATTTTGTTTTTTTCTTTTAGCATAATATTGTTTTATAGAAATATGAGAAAAGTGAAATTATTTTGTGGTGCAGAAAAATTAGTTTATTTACTCATTAGTGTATGAAGTTTGCAAGGAAATATCAGATTTCTTTATCTTTTATATATATTGTTGAATAGTTCTGCTAATTTGATAATCTGATATTTTTTTAAGTAAATTCTGGTGTGGAAAATTATTATTCAGCAACATAAATATTTATTTTAATTAAATATATTTTCAATTTCTATAAAGGTTGATAGTTTCAGTGTTTATACTCATAAGTATAGTGCTATTCATATTAGATTTTCAAAACAAAAAGTTTGCAGATCCCAATAAAACCTTTATGCCATTCTTACTGTATAGAAACAGTGCAATTGACAATTTAAAAGACATCCCCACTTCTGTACCAGGAGTGGGTATTTGGCTAAAGTGTTGTATGAGTAAAAAAAAACAAAAATCGATTGTGCTTGTTACTACTTCGTGATGCTAGTGTATATAGACATTCCTAACTATTTTTTTATCACTAATCTACCTCAGGAGCCTATCCTAATGAGAAGTCGAGAACTCTTAGCTCTCCGAGACCAACTGAGAATGAGGTATGAAGACCTTAAGAAAGAAGTGGAAGCTAAAAATACAAGAAACATTGGCCCCACTCCAAGAGTTTCCTCCCCTATTCAAGTTTAAGCTGCAAATTTGTGTGATTTAATTAATAACATGATAGTAATAGTTACTGGATTATGTATATATATATATATGAGTAGATTATTGGTCATAGATATCTTTATCTAGGAAAATGAATTATTCAAAGTATTATATATGGCATTAAAGCATTCCTTATTTAATTGAAAGCCTGCTTGAAACTTGCAGAATGTTAGCTATAGTCTTTGAACTTAGTTTCCCAGTTCAAACATAACCAGGTGATAATGTTATTCTTATTTTTAAAAACATCCTTTAATAATTGTGAACCTGCTTAAAATATGCAGAATCTACCAACATGACTCTCATCTTCAAACATAAACCTAGAAAGGTTTTTAGCATATTAAATGTTGTGTGTAATACTAAACAACCTTTAAATAAGTTTCAGCATGTTTGAAGCAGTCAAAATGTAAATGCATTTCTATGTTCAAAATTCCGATTTGTATATCAAATCAGAGATATTGTCTGGAAATTTTCAGTGTATTTCCAAGTTGAAGTAAAGTTGTAGGTTTCATTCTCACCATATCATTTTAACATTATGGGGCCAAAGCTGTCAACAGTAGCATGAAATCTCTTTACGAAGTATCCTCTTTGAGCAAGAATCATATTGCAAACAGTATTGCCACTTCTGTACTAAATGCTTTAAAATCTTTTTAATTCAAGTTTTGGTTGATAAATTAGGTAATGTTTGAAAATTAATCTCATTATTTAGAATAAAAAGCAGCTCTTTTTTTTCTATTTTTTTGGGCTATATACTTTTGTACAAGAGTTTGAAGACACAACATACTATATCCAATGTAGTTTTGTTTGAAAATATAGAATATGGTAATCAAAAGAATAAATAACACACACCCCTTTTTTTTTCTTACTTGTCCCTGTTTTACAATATAAATCTACTTTTGACTAAACTCATAAATATAGTTTTATGTAAAACAGTTAAGACCCATATATTTTCAATGTCTCCAAGTTTTTTTTTATAGGTACAGTATTTTACCAAAATAAAAACCTAAAACATCATTGATTTATCCCACATCAGTAGGTACATTTGTACTGTTTTTGTGCATGTTTTAACTTATGAAGTGTTGTTTTTTTTTATTTGAATTTAACATTTTTAATACTTTTATTAGCTTCAGTTTTCCCTCATAAATAAAGTTGAAACCATCATGTCTTCAGTAACACATTTTCTTATAATATTTTATGTTTTAGTGTAATTATGTTTATCATTAGACATTGCTTCTTTTAGTATCACAAACTTCACCAATCTCTGTTAGTTGCTTCATTACAAAGTTTCAGCAGCAAAGTCTGACTCATTGCCATGCATTTAAGAAATCTGAAGTACAAATCTTGTGCTTGTTTTATATATATTTGTACTTGCATATTTTTTGCAGGGTGAGAATAATACTTTTTTTTTTTCAATAGATGTTTTTGAGTGCTTTAACATTGGACTATATTTCAGAATACATTTAAAGTTTTTGGCAGAACTTTAATAGTTGATTCAAAAATTTATGTTTTTATTATATTTCTCCAGAATGGTTTAATAGTAATTTAATTATTTAGTTTGTACAACACTATAAATAAATTTCCCACAAACGACTGACTTTAACTTGTAGAAAGTACAAGATGCATAATTTCACTGGAATGTAAGTTATCATCACATATGTTTCACTATGTACATACATATCCCACTAGGTTAGCAGTCGGCTTTGGTTTGTCAATCAACTTAGATGCTGGATTTCACACATTTTAATATATTATTCTGCAATTTTTGCTATATGGGTCACACACACATTTTGTATTATAGCTCAGTAGCATAGCTTCAGAATGTTAATAAATACCCATCATGAAAACAGAATGTTAATTTGTTTGTGAAATTTTATTTCCATAAGAGAATTGATGCCCAATACATGAAATTTAATTTTCAATATTAAACTTTTGTTTTGATTGTTATATTCATGTGTACACAATAGATGATTAAATCTTTGTAATTACATTTTAATTATAATAAAATATCCAAGAAGTATACATACTGTGTACTTATCAAAATTGAACTATTTTTCTTTAACATCTCTGATGTTGTTGTTTTTTAAAATATTTCTATTAAAGTAGAAGTCTTATTTCTTGAAGTGTTTTCTTAGTTTCTGGTCTTAAAAGAATATATATTTGCTTTTATTTATGAAATATCTGATTTGTGTAAGAGGTGGCTAGGCATGATCTAGTGATAAGTGTGGTGAACTGTGGATCCAAGGATCCACAGTTTGAATCCTGTTGCTGGAAAACAAAATAATTGTGCACTATAAGAGTAATAACCAAATCCTACTGTGCAATGGGGAAAGCCCAAGAGTTGGCAACGAGTGCCATTGCCTGTCTTCCATATATATATATATATATAATATTTCAGAATTAGATACCTTGTATACCTGTACATGAATATCCAAAAGAAAACAAGTGTACAAAACTTATTTTTTGTGTTTTTAAAAATAAAACTAGTACATACTTATGATAAAGTAGTTTTAAAGGTAAAATCTGTGAAGACAGTTTCAAGGTATTACAAATAGTAATATACTTAAATATACAAGCATTTTTAAACTGAGCAAAGATATGGCTTATAACTGTTTTTAGCTTTAATTTTATGAAAAAATTTAACTGAAATACATCACACATTGAATGTATTATTAGCGTACAAATACATACTCGAGACATTATACTATGTCCAAATTTGTTGATATGATGGCTCTCTAAGCCCAGTAAAGGAGTCGAGACAACATATTTGGCATATTAGTAAAAATATCTGACACTGTTTATGATCAAGCATTAGTTGTTATGAAGAAAGACATGGTTATAGATTGAAATTGTAACCAATATCTTGGCTGGTACATTATAAATGATATTTTTCTCTCTCTCTTGTAGATTACATTCAAGTGCAGTTGCATACCTTTAAGTTAAACATATTAAAAAAGAAAAAACTGTAAACAATTAGCACCATTTCCTTAAATTGTCTCTGCTTTTATTATATAATCAATGAGAGCTTTGCCTGTAAGACTGACAGGTGAACAAGTGTTTTTCTTTTTACTGCAATGTAAGGCTTTAAATACTTTTAAAAATAAAATAGCTAAATGATTACAATATTAATCACAGTCCAGTCAGACTTGGTTAGCAAGACACAATAAAGTCTTTTCCTTTTTTGCTATTAAGTAATCATTCAAACCAAAGTATTTTTTTCTCTTCATTCTACTTGTGTTAGGATTAAATTGCATAAGCCTAGCAGAGAATTTTTGTGAAACCTTGTCTCCACTTATCACTCAAAAAAAATGGTGATGTTATTTTGTACATGTGATGAGTGAATTCCTCTTTCAGCATCAGGACATTATTGTAAGATACAAATTGACATAATGTTAATTGGGTTGCATTCCAGAATATTGTACGAGACATATGTTGAAAATATCAAGTCTTGAAAAGATATTTCAAAACAATGAAGAAAACGGTTGTTTGGTCTTGTGTAATACACCATAAAATTTACAACATATAAAATATTTTTCATACTACCACTCAAATTCAAATAAGTAGCTCAATTTTATGTGGGCCAGGATTGGCTTAGTATTAACAAGACAGACTGTGGATCTGAATGTATATGGTTCACGTTTTATTGCTGAAAAAAGAAACGCTTTCTGCATTTTGGGGCACTGAGTACATTACAGAAGTGACAGTCACATCTCACTATTTGATTAGCATAGCCCAAGGGTTGGCAGTGATGCAATTGTGATTGGCTATCTTTCTTCCCTGTAGTCCATCAGTTCAAAATTAGAGACCATTTAATGCAAATTATTTAGCTTTTTGCAAGTTTTCAAAATAAACAATCATATGGTTATTGTGTCTTGTCGAAAACCTTATATATAACTAATTCTTTAAACTTAAAATAGGCCTGTTGATGAACAGCAAGTAATTGGAAGTGTTTAAATTTTATGTAACTTATTATTCACATATTTATAACACATTTTATACACCAAAGAAGACTCCACTTTTAGGAAAAGTCTCCTATAAACTGTTGTGAGCTACAATAGGTTTGAAACTATGAAGAAAGATAGTAAGGGTAAAAGGGACTGTGAGTCTTATCTGAAAACATGAAATTTGAATGAAGGATTTTTACGCTTACATAAACTGTAAAAAGAGAGTCAAGGATATTATTGATTCTATAAAAGATCCCATGTGAAATTTTTTGTGAAAGAAAAGAAGATAGTTAAATGCCCTATAACTTCTTTACTAGTGCATTTACTGATGAAATAAAGAAACTGCTAGTCCGATGAGACTGTCAAGAGGTGAGGAGAAACCTTATTTGTATATAAGAAAAATATGTTTTGGGAAACATTTTGAGAGTAAAACTCCTGGTCTCGGACAAGATTTCTTCTAAAAACTTGAAGAAGCTTTCAAGTTGGTGACAATTTTTGCACTGCAATGTTAAGAAAGCATTGCCATAAAAACAACTATATTTTTGAATTTTTTCTTTCAAAATCATGCTTTTGAACTTTTTGTAAAAAAAAAAAAAAAAAAGGCAAAACTTTCTAGCGGAACTATCTTCAATTTGTGCAATAATTATTAAAACAAATTATTGGCTCATTTACCCTATGAATACATACGTATAGTTGAAAACAGTTCACAATCAGACTTTTAGAATATGCAATTATTCATTCTAATTAAGAGTATCATAGCTCTCGAAAACCAAAGTTCAAAATCAGAAGTTACGTGTGCTTCTCCTGCAAGTGTTTTCAGTTATAAGTAAATTGAAAGGAAAACACATATAAGCAATTAATTTACAGATAGTTATCTCAGAATATATAAATAACGAGTATATAAAAATTAAATTTATTTTATTACGAAAGGCCCGGCATGGCCAGGTGGATAAAGCGCTCGACTCCCAATCAGAGGGTCGCGGGTTCAAATCCCAAACATGCTCGCCCTTTCAGCCGTGGGGGCGTTATAATGTGACGGTAAATCCCACTATTCGTTGGTAAAGAGTTGGCGGTGGGTCGTACACTGCTAAATTAAGGAACGGCTAGCGCAGATAGCCCTCGTGTAGCTTTGCGCGAAATTCCAAAACAAACAAAAAATTATCACGAAATCTATACAGAGAAAAATTAGTTTGAAAATCGTTATCATAAAACGAGTATTTTATTTTTAGCCCTATCGATATCAAATAACATCCCAAGAATATGCAACATTTTCATATCAAGTGGATAAACTGTTGCATGTTTGTTTTTAAAGCAAGTATTGTTTGACGTTGTAATTTTGGGTTAATGAATTAAAGCTATGGACACAAGTCTACTGAAAAGATTAAATAGTTAAGAATATGCTCAAGGAACCCCATTCTCCAGTACTCAACGCTTACATATGTAACAAATACTAAACCCCCATTTTCCATACTCGACGCTTACTTAACTTTTACATATGTAATAAATATCCCCCCCCCCCAAAAAAACTTCAAGGGGTAATTTTAAAACATTTCCCATAATGGCTGAAATAAAACTAAACATTCCGTTAATCAACGCAGCAACGAACAGTCATGTATGAAGAACTGATTCAATATTTGGTAAATGTTAGAGTGGATTACTGTGTGAAGTCATTATAGTGCAGATGAAATACGGGTTTCAGGTCAGATCATCAGTTAAGGGCATATTGTTTAAGGTCATAGTTTGCAATTATGGCACGTAGTGGTATTTATTTCTTTATTCTTGGAAACTACATTTTCTAATCTACCTTAGATTCAAAAATGCACCGTTCAATAGTTATGCTACGTGTTAGAAGTGTCTGTGTTTCAGAGGATGAAGTTTACAAATTATTGATTTTTATTAATTCAATATAAAATTTGGCTAATACAACACTACTAAGCTACAAAACGTCAATGATCATTAGGCATTTATCTTGCGTTTTGTTTTTTACCCAGAAAAGCCTCCTGATAGCTAAAATATACATTTGAGTTGTTATAACGCTAAACATAGAGGTCGATTTCCGCAGGGGGTACAGTGTAGCGTTGGTTCTTCGCCAAGCTAACAACCTAAGAAACAAACACATATACGTACAAATATAAAACAGCACTAATATCCAATTACTAGAGCAAAACTGTGGTGGGTTAGCCTTTTAGGTTTTTAAACGTAAAGAGTAACGTTTTAGCAACTTTAATAAAAAAAAATATTATGATGTGGGTATGTAAATATGTCTATATATATTTACATAAGACTCATATTACTACCCATATCACAAAGATAACGTTCGTCTGAAATTACGCCTCTAATAAGACAACATTGTTACAAAAAATTTCCCTAGAAATGTTTTTTTGCTTTCGGTGTTAGGCCTTCAACTGACAAAACTGGTTTGGGACAGCGTATTCAAGTTTTTGATTAATATCTCTGACTCAAATGTCAAAGATGAAAATCCAAAGAGACATAATGCGCCAATATAAAATATGGGAAATTTTCTTCTATTTTGTAAAATTCTCCAGTTTTAATAACCGGTTTACTGATGCTTGAAATGATGTCATGCCAGCTGACTACATTTTCTTAGACAACGCTTCATCAATTAGTACCTACTCTCGCTCTCTAGTATTTGAAACGTATAGAAACAGTTGAAAGGCAACAGCAGTTGAATTGGTAGACGGAAATTCGACGTCAATCGTTAAGCAGATGGCATACGTATAATGAAGCTGATTTGGCAGTGAAATTTATCCTTTCAGAATATATTCCTATTTTCGGTCTCAAAGCAAAACCAGTAAGCCAAAAAGCTCAAGATTAGACTAAACCTAAGCGAGGAAAGCGTCTTTCTATTCAGAATACTTATTTTTATGTATATTATAAAGTATTATAT